AAAAAAAAAAAAAAAAAAACTAAAATTAACGAGCCATTCACCGTCGGTAGCGCGTGGATTGCACATCTGCGGCGGAAGACGTGGGGGCAAGTAAGAGCCCACGTCTCTGAGGCAATCGAATCTTGTCCGTAGAATATTGTGACGTGGCAGGAATGCACAATTTCATCTTCTGTGGATCCCACGCGCTTTCAAGTCAAGAGAATCAACTGATGCCAGCTGGACCTTTTATCACGTGACTTTTCGTATAGGGACTTGAGCCCACGCATGTTCTGAGTATTGGTCTATCGGGTTTGTAATCGTTAGCTAGATCAATTATTGCAGACAATTATATAATGATTTAATTATTATAAATTCCGACAGAATAGTTCCGTAACATGAACATAGCATTTCCATAATCTTCGTTTGCCAGAAAATAACTATATATATATAAAGTAAAATGAGCACTTGCACTTGAGCTTGTACTCGTTTTTGCAACTCTTTTAGTTACAATAATATGACATTTACTAAGTGAAACGAGGCTATGTTAACGAGTGGGCAAAATTGTGTTACAAAATGAAGATTTTGAATTATTAAATTGTGACGTAACGTCGAGTAATTTTGTGAAAGCACAAATAAGAGATAAAAACTTTTTAGGGAGCCTTAAACTACTTCTCAGCCAGAGATCCCCTCAGTTAGATATCTTTCATTAATGCACATTGGTACAATTTGGACTTATGCATCTAGAACTCCCTTCGAGTCTAGTCAACACTATACTCGATCCTATCAATTACTTCTCTGACCACAATTCGTGGACTTCACTCGAGCAAACCAACACTTAAGCCCTAAGTACTATAAAGTTCGTTTGTACAAAAGATATGAAAAACTAAGAAAACAAACCAAGTTTTTCGACGGTGCAAGAACACCGAAGCACTTACTAACAAAAATAAATCTAAGAACAAAAAAATATCGAACTCTCAATTGAATGCTTGAAATAACTCGTGATTCTGAAACTCTCAGTTGCCTTCAATTGTTTTTCAAAACGTGAATATGTAGCTTCTCAAGTTAGCTACTCATTTTCCTTTTAGGTTGATATCCTTCCAAGCATGAGCACCAAGATATGGTAATAAGTGAATATTCAATCTTCATACGTCTTTTTTCTACAAAATATAATCAAGTAAGATCACACAATATCTCATAATATATAAATCGACATAATCTATAATTATAGATAATAAAGAAGATTTTCCCTTTTAATTTCCTTGTGTGCTTGTAGATTATATATTCAATATATTATTTTTGAACTTCGTGAAAAAATAAACCTTTCACTAAAGTTTAACATGTAACTGAAGTTCTTAAATTCATATTAATTATATTATCGTTTTTTTCGAAACGATAGAGATAACATATAACAGCGCACAAAAGTATAAAAGTACAACCACTAGCTGAATACAACAACCAATGACTAATAGAATGTGAGGACATGTCAATAGACCGCCTAGAACCGACCCCAACGGGGTAAAAACCTAAAAAACACAAAAAACCACAACATACTACAAATACTAAAATCTCACAAAAGGAGAATGAGAAAGAAACGACTGCAAAAGATATAAATAAAAGATTTGATTCCCTTCTATACTCGAGTTCGGGCTTGAACCTTTTATCGAATTCGGTTCGACTAAATGAAATAGCATGATAAATAAAAACTTAAATTTCTAACACCAGTGGTTGAGATGGCATAGTGTGATTTATGGCTGTACCAGCAAGCATGTGTCCAGTGAAGTCCAAAAATATCTAACAAAACCCAGACAATTATTGTCTCATTGGTCTCTATTATTTTAATTTTAATAATTATGTATTTATATATTTCCAAACTTGTTATAAATTATCGCACATGCCGCCATGTGATCGTGTGTATTCAGGTGTGGTTTGCTAACAACAAATGAATATTTAAAAAATAAAAATTAAAAAATTAAAA